TCCCACCCTCGCCTTCTCCCACAGAGTCCAAAAGTCTGTTCTGTACATCTGTGTCGAGATAGGACATTTAAATGAAAAAAATAACCTAGGAAATTTTCATTGACAATAACTCCTAGACACTTAGAATATGTGATGTGTTTACCTAGAAGCTACTCTTAGACTCGACTCTCTTTTTCTTAGAAAGGAACCCATGGCCCTGGGCTAGTTTAGCTCTCTGCACTTCAATTTATTCATACATACAATCTCTTTTAGCAATGATTCTCAAACTTTAATGTGCCTGTGAATTACCTGAGAATCCTGTTAAGACACAGATTCACATCAGTAGGTCTGGAGGGGCACCTGAAAGTCTGCATTTCTAACAAGCTCCCAGATGCTGCTGATGCTGCTGGTGCACAGCTGAACACTTTGAGCAGCAAGGTCTTAGAAGACGTTATGAGGATTAAATGAAATGACCTACATAAAGTGCTTGGCACAGATGTGGTTGGCACCCTTCAGAAGAACAGACTTACAAAGAAAATTATAAAACATGGTTAAAACCTAGAAATGACTTGATTCAATCCTCTTTTCCTTTTCAGATGTGGAAACAACAGGATGAGAAAAGTTACAATCACTACCCGCTAACAGCCAAATGGAGAAGAGATGGAATTCTTTTTAGACTGGCAAATAGATGGGGAAATAGTGGCTGACTTTATTTTTCTGGGCTCCAAAATCACTGCAGATGATGATTGCAGCCATGAAATTAAGAGATGCTTACTCCTTGAAAGGAAAGTTATGACCAACCTAGACAGCATATTAAAAAGAAGAGACATTACTTTACCAACAAAGTTCCGTCTAGTCAAGACTATGGTTTTTCCAGTGGTCACGTATGGATGTGAGAGTTGGACTATCAAGAAAGCTGAGTGCCGAAGAATTGATGCTTTTGAACTGTGGTGTTGGAGAAAACTCTTGAGAGTACTTTGGACTGCAAGGAGATCCAACCAGTCCATCCTAAAGGTGATCAGTTCTGGGTGTTCATTGGAAGGACTGATGTTGAAGCTGAAACTCCAATATTTTGGCCACCTGATGAGAAGAGCTGACTCACTGGAAAAGACCCTGATGCTGGGAAAGATTGAGGGCAGGAGGAGAAGGGGACAATAGAGGATGAGATGGTTGGATGGCATCACCGACTCGATGGACATGGGTTTGGGTGAACTCCGGCAGTTGGTGATGGACAGGGAGGCCTGGTGTGCTGTGGTTCATGGGGTCGCAAAGAGTTGGACACGACTGAGCGACTGAACTGAACTGAAGTATAATCAAGAACAATGAGTGGAAGTTAAACAGAGCTTTTCATTCCATGCAAGAAAAGACCTTTTAGTAATAACTGCTCTCCTACAATCAACTGGCCCTCTTGAGGAAATAGAGCAAAATCCCTGGTTACAAAGTATGAGCACTGACCAGATGATAAGATCAAAGAAGACTTTCATGCCTCAGGTCACTGTGGAACTAACTAAAAGACATTGCATATATAATAGGTACAAAAAATCTTTAATAAACAAAAAATTTTAATAAAATAAAACTTTTCTTACTTTCCTTCCAACTCTGCTCCTCCTAAAGTCTTGCAAGTAAATGGAGCTGCTTAGGTCAAAAAGCCTTGGTGTCATCCTTAACTCCTCTTCTTTCACTTCTCACATCCATTCCATCAACAAATCCGAGCACTGTATCTTCAAACTGTGCCCACTAGCCCCTTTGTCTGTCTGGATTACTAGAATAGCCTGCTAGCAAGTTTCCCTATCTTTTTCCCTTGATCTTCAACAGTATTTTCTCAACACAGCAGCCAAAGGGTTGCCACTTCTCTGTTCAATCCCTTCTCATTTAGAGTAAAAACCAAAACCGTTATAATGGTTTATAAGATCCTACATGATCTTCCCTCTCCATTAACCATTAACCATATTTCTTGTCATTCTCTATCTTATTCGCTCTGTGCCAGCCACCCATGAACTCAACTATTCCTTGAATAACAACAAGGACACTTCTATCTCAGGACCTTTGCACTTCCTCTTCTCTCTGCTGTGAAGGCTATTCGCTGAAATTCACAAGTTAATGGCTGGCATTGCCAATATGTGAAAACGACATAATGACACCTAACAGGATTCTAATTGCTCTCTATGGAAAAATGCCCACCCTCAACTTGAAAATCCACACTTTACTTTCCATAGTTGGTACAGATGAAGGACTGGATTAGGCACTCAAGTTTCAATTTATGACTTAGCCTTATTTTTTTTTTTTAATCACATTTTCACTAAATTTTCTCTTAATACCAAGTTAGGGAAGACTAGGGTTGTACTCCCACATCAGAGCACTGCAGTCACCTGGGCAAAGAATAACCTTTCTGATGGCCCACTGGTCTGTGACCCAGGCTTATCCCACCTCTGGAAAAATGAACAAACATACTACATGCAGTGTCATTCTGCTATCCACAGGAAATTATCTCTTTTCTCCTTTCAAAGCCAAAGTTCCTCAGTTGAGCTTGAGAAAACCTAATTACCACTGGGTAGCCAGGACAGACAATGGGCAGAAAAAGCTGAAACATGGCATTCAAGTGGGCTCCTTTACAGAAAAGGAAGTCACCCACTCATAGAGATGACCTGCTCTAGGGACCCACGTACCAGCACTGCTGCTGTATGCAGTTGCTCTGGTTCCCACTACCCAGCAGCATAGGTACCATTCACAGCTTTGGGCAGTGCAGCTACTCCAACCACTCAGCCTTTAGGTTCAGAAATTAAAGGCACTCTTGACTTGGACAACCAAACAGCTTTAAAGGGATGGAGATAAATTCATTTGATGTAAGAATTAATGTGGGTAAAGAGAGAAAGGTGGGGAGTGAAGAGAGATTCTGGCCTGAGTCGAAGGGCCCTGGAAGAGAGGGTGTACCTTGGATAGGGGCTTCAGTCTCAGTTCCTCTGATCTTGCACTCACAGTCCCCCTCCCCAGCCTACCTCATGAACAGGCTACTTCCTGACCATAAACCAAAGATCCAGAGGGTCACCGGGCTACCTCAAAACTCCTGTACTCTAGTTTAAGATAACAGGACAGTGCTTTTAGGAACTCAAAGAATAGTATGGCATACTCTATATCAGTGGCTATTTCTCAGCCAAGGAATGAAACGTGACTTTTTTAAGGACTTCTGAGTGCAGCGGCTGAGGAAAAAACCTAAGAACATGAGATCTAGCTTATAGATTAGAAGGAGCAGAGGCACAAAAATCAGACAAAAAGATGTGGCATGTTTAACATTCAACTCAGCGAGAGGCCTCATCCATCTTCTCTGGTAAACCCACAGAGGACCGCTTATGCGTGCTAACAATGGGGACTCCTGGCACAGGCAAAGAAGTGACACGTTTCAACACTAACACTACCTCTGGATGAAGCAAGCTAGATAATTTCCTTGTTCCTCCTGCTGAGGACAGAAGCTCTCCCCCAATGAGGACATCATCCCAGGCCTCCCGTTCATGAATGAAGTGCTGTCATTTCCTGTCTGCATTCTGGGTAGCACATCAGTCCAGCAAGCAGCCACACAAAAGCTGGGCATTAAACCCCCGGGGAAATGATATGAAATCAACAGCATTTCTTGACTTAATTCTCCACTTTGAAGTAACACATTAAATAGTGACCCTCCCATACACTTAATATAACCACAGGCAAAGGGAAACAATAATCTATTTTTTTGTTTCTTATTTGTTTTTTAAAAAAACACTTCGAGTAGAAAAAATCTGATATAAACTCTTAATAGATAACTTCTCTTCACCCCACAGACCTATCTTGGATATATTAACAAGGAAATGTTATTTAAGTCAGGCTCAAAGTAGACCTCTTTATGAATCAAATAATTCTCTAACTTACCCTTGGGTAAATGGATTTTTATGTAATGGATTGGCTTAAAATGAGGAAAATTCATACTAGATAATCTGCACACCAGTAGCTCATTTCAAGTATTTATACACAGGAATATTAGGGGAAGGACCGTTTTCTTACCCCATCTTTAACAACCCAACTACATTATACTTTTTTTCTTTTTCTTTTTCTTAGTACTGAGGTCGAGAGACTATTTGAGAAAACGATTCCTCAAGGTGAGAAGAATCTCAAGTAAACATCTGGAAGGAATGTGTTTTCCAATAACCGGCAGTGGATGAGAAGATGCGAGAGACACAGGACCCTTGGGGAAAAGCAAACGGCTCCACTAAAACTTCCTCTTTCAACCTTAATTGGTCAAAGGCCAAAATAAATGAACTTTCCAAAGTTAGGAGCTTCGAAACTTTCATTAAGAATAACTGTAGGTGCACAAGGCATGACCCGTGAGCCCCTCGACCTCCGTGTGCCCGGCAGCGGGAGCTGGGAGAGCCGGGCGCCCAGGCCCAGGCCGCCTCCACGCGGAGAGACCCGGAGGGAGCGGGTTCAGGCCCGGCTGCCCGGGACCTGGAGCTCCCAGCCCCCGGCCCAGCGCCAGCTCCCGCCCCGCCCTTCTTACCCCAGACTCTGGAAAGGAAATAGACGCTCCGGGGGGAGGGTGAGAGGCGCCCGGTGGGATTCAGCCACAGCCCGGGGCCGTCCCCAACTCCCAACTTCCCAGAGTTTCCTCTGGCCTCGTCCCCCTTCCCTAGACTCGCGAGGCCGCCGGGGCCTCTCCTCGCCCGGAGCGCAGAGCCAGGGAAGTGGCGCGCGGGTTCCAAGCTCGGGAGCCGCCCCCCAAGAGCCCCGGTGACCGGAGCTCAGGTGACGGGCGTGGTCCCTCCAACCCCGCAACAACCCACCCGGACTCGGCCTCCACGCAGCAGCCTCCGCCGGGGTTCCCGCCCGGGTCCAGCATCAGGCCACGGTGCGCTGGTTCCTGGTCCCCTCCCCTAGCTGGGTGGTCACCCACCCTCCTCCCTCCAGTCCGCCTCGCTCCCCTGCTTCAGGCCCTGGCGCGGCCCCAACTCCCAGCCCAGGGCCCTGGGGTCGCTCCGGGCAGCGGCGGCGGCACTCACCTGGGTCGCGGAGCCGGGGTCTGGTGCGGTCCCGCAGGTGGTAGATGAAATCCTGGCAGCTGTCGTGCTCCAGGGCCCCGCGGGCACAGAGCTCGGCCAGCAGCTGCAGCGCCTGGTGACAGAGCGCGTCCCTGGCCCCGGGCATCGCCCCCCCGCATCCTCGGACCGAGCAGGGCAGGCGGGCGCGGGAGACAACCCTCCGCCTGCCAGCTCAGAGCCGCCGCCTCCGGGCCGTCCGCGCTCGCCGCCAGGGATTCGTGGAGAAACCGCCCGAGCCCCAGCCCCAGCCGGCCCGGCCTCCCACCGGTTGCATGCAGCTCTCGGCCAGCCGGTCGGTCGGGCTTTCTCTCTCTCCCGCCTGGTCCCTCCGTCCCTCGCCCGGCACGGAGGAGAGGCGGCGCCGCACAACCCAGCGCGCCTCTCTCCTAGCGCCCCGCCCGCCACTCGCGGCCGCCGGGGGGCGGGGCGGGTCAGGGGTGCGTGCCGCGGGGTAGGATCCGGGCTGCCCCGGCCTGGGAGCCGGCGAGGGGCGGGGGCGCTCGCGGGCTCCTAGAGGAGCGCGGGACTCGGTTCGGGACCTCGCGCTCAGAGCGACCGCGCCCAGGTTTGGAGCTTGTAAGCGAGTGCGCGCTCCGTCCCGAAGCAAACCCACACCCTCTCCCATCGCCCCTTGCCGCGGGAGTCCAAAGCAGGTTCCTGGATGCTTTGCGCGAAAAGGTGAAGTGTGAACCACACCTGCCCGATCTGGAGAATGGAGTCCTGGCTTTGAACTTGAAAGGTGCCGTCTGGGCATAAACCATGGGCCTAAGGATGCTAGATGCCCAAATGCGGGGTTTGGGGCCGAGATTCACCAACAAAAGAGAGATTTCTTAAGCGCAGGACCTTTTCGGACCACCTTGGTGATTCGAAAAAGGTGAAGGCTCTCAAATCAGAAATAAGGAAAAATAAATGGCTCCTGAGAAAGACGCTGGGACTTAGCTGCAGCTTCGAAGATCCTGGTCGTTTTTCTAAGCAATTGAATGGAAATCTGAGGATTGTCAATGATTCTCCAGCACCCACCGAGGAAGAGTATCAGAGAATCTGGGATGTTTGGAAGGGAACACAGGGCACCTCTCATACGCCAACCTCTTCAACCTTTCAGGCAATAAACCTAGAAATAACCAGAGGATACTGAGCTGTGTGTGTGTGTGTGTGTGTGTGTGTGTGTGTGTGTGTGTGTGTGTGTGTGTGTGTGTGTGTGTGTGTGTGTGTGTGTGTGTGTGTGTGTGTGTGTGTGTGTGTGTGTGACAGAGAGAGAGAGAGAGGTCTTTTAGCTATATAATCCAACTCCCTTGAATACTGAGCTCCTGTGTGTGTGACAACTCTTTAGCTACATAATCTCATTTAACTCCCTGGATAGCCTCAACAAAGTCTGCATTACTATTATGCTTATTTTTACCAATGACAAACCTGAGACTCAGGAAGTTAGCACCTGCCCAAGTTCATACATGGGGAGGCAGGTTAATCTTGACCTTCTTTTTCTTTGCCTTTACTTAACACTAGTGTCCTACTCTAAAGCAGAGTAGAATCTGTACAACTGATACTCTCAGTCATAAGGCTGTGCTGTTGCTAGAGCATCTCATAGCAAATCAAATTGTGCAGAAAGGTAGTTCAGGATGCCATAGAGTGTTCACCCAATAGACAAGCTTTAGAATACTACTGCACATGGTGCTTGGGGCCTCAAGGACCTTACATTAGAATAGAGAAAATGCAGCGTTGTAAAGGTAAAGCTAACTTCAGAGTTGTGAAAATGCAAGTAGACTGCCTTAGGTAAATTAATAGGGAAAATAAATTCAGACTCAGCCCTCAGAGGAGGTAGAGCAGAAACTGGTCTTTAAAAAGAGGGAACTCTTAGAGATGTAGGAGGGAGAGTGTGGATGCTAAAGTTGGTGTAGTAATGGTGAGGAGGAGCATGCATTAAAGCATGTGGAAAATTAACACTGATGTGACTATGTCAGAGAGGAACCAAAAGTAGTAAGTTCAGTTAAGAAATTACTTTGATAAGCCATGCAAGATATCCAAGGGCCTAGATCAGGCCAAAGGCATTGGCTAATTGCCAGGAACATCCAAATTAGAAAAATATTTCAGGTATGAATCAACAAGATTGCAACCAGTGGAATGGGAAAGAATGAAAGCCACAGACATTAAAAAAACTGACCTGGGTCACACACTGTGAGCACCTGATGACATTTACAGTTATAAGCCCAGAGTTTTAGGAGAGGGAGACTTCAACCATATAAAAGGATGGCCATCAACCATAAAAAGGTAGAAACTAAGTTGCCACATTGGATGGATTCTTCCAGAAAAGAAGAGCTGGAAAAATGGGAGAGAGCTTTACCATTCAAAATGTGGCTTGACAAGGATGAGATTGAGAGTAGCAATCAGAGAAGGGGAAAATCCGACAGAGGGGAGTCATGGGCCAAAAGAAAGGGCACAATCAACAGCATCAACTGTCAACAGAATTTGAAGGAAAAAAACTAAGCTGTGTCCTTCAGATACAGCAAGCCGTAAGAGAGTCGTGATTTTTTAAATTAATTATTGCAGTAGAGTTGCTTTACAATGTTGTGTTACTTTCTGCTGTGCAGCAAAGCGAATCATTTATAAGTATACATATGTTCCTTCTTTTTGGGATTTTTCTTCCCATTTTGGTCACCACATAACACTGAGTAGGGTTCCCTGTGCTATACAGTAGGTTCTCATTAGTCATCTGTTCTGTATATAGTAGTGTATATATGTTAATCCCAATCTCCCAATTCATCTCCCCCACCATCTCCCCAATACACTCCTCCCTTGGTTTCCATACATTTGTCCTTTATGTCTGTAAGACAGTCATGATTTAGAGAGACTAGTTACTGTGCAACCAACTCAACACAAGTTACTTAACATTTCTGTACCTGGATTTTTCATCAGATAAAACTAATATGTGCATCGAGTAATTATAAAGATTACATAAAATGCTTGGAATAGTTGCCAACACATAGTACAGACTCAATTAGTATGTGATTTTGTTGTTGGGAGTATGTGATTTTGTTGTTGGAAGTGTGCTAAACACACTTCCTGAATTTATTACAACGCTGCTAAGTGATGGATGTTTTTATTTCCTATTTTACAGGTAAAGAAAGTAAAATCAAGTGGTTGAGTAATCTTCCCAAGGACAAGCTGGCAGACTGTTTCCAGAGGACAGCCACGACCCTCCCTCCCATTCCACACGTCCCCCCCTCCCATTCCACACGTCCCCTTGCAATGTGACTTTACCACTCCTTCCACCAAGAAGTGGAGACTGTTTCCCTTCCCCTTGAATCTAGGCTGACCTGTGACTTTTAATCAATAAAATATGTGGAAGTGACATTCCAGTATCAGAACAGTGGTTGAAATGGATGTGGATAAAAGGAACCCAGGTGCCATGTTGATGGGAATGTAAATTGATACAGCAACTATGGATATTCCTCAAAAAATTAGAGACAGAACTACCATGTAATCCAGCTATCTCACTTCTGGCTATTTATCTGAAGGAAATGAAATCACTATCATGAATAAATATCTGCATTCACATGTCCATAGCAGCATATTCACAATATCCAAGTCAAGGAAACAACCTAGATACCCATGAATGGATAGAGAAAGTGTGACACATACGTACACACACACATATAATGTGTGTGTGTGTATATATATATATATATACACTGATACACAATGGAATATTATTTAACTTTAGAAAGAAGAAAATCCTACCATTTGCAACAACATGGATAAACCTGGAGGACATTATACTTAATGAAATATTCAGACAGAGAAGTGTACTGGGTAGTGTATATGTGGTACCTAAAAAAAATGATCCTCATAGAATCAGAGTACAATGATGGTGGCCAGGGGTTAGGGGAAGGTACAATGGGGAGATGTAGGTCAAAGGGTACAAATTCTGTTACAAAGATCAAATGTACAGAGGTGACTGTACTTAATAATACAGTATTGTATACTTGAAATTTACTGAGTAGCTCTTAAACATTCTCAGCACAAAAGTTGAATAAAAAGTTACAAGGTGATGGGATGTGTTAATTCATCTTTATCTTGGTAATCATTTTAAGATGTACATGTATATCAAATCATCATGTACACTTTAAATATGTACTTTTTTATTTTTATTCCCCCCAAAAGCTGGAAAAAATAATTTTAAAAAGTCCTATAAGATGTTCATGCTGCTCTTAGACCATATATTCACTACTACTCCCAAGATCTAGATTCTGTACTTGGGAAGTGGTTTGGGACTCCTAATGGCAGAACTTCCTATTAATTGGCATTCCGTTTGATTCAGCTTCTTGCCTTTAGCAAAAGAAAATAAGATTCAGCTGGCATGTTGTTCTTAGCCCATGTTCTCTCTCCCAGTGATTAGCACTCCCATGAAATACTCACAAACTCCTGCTTAATTATGCCAAACAGGGATTCATCCCTACACCTGCTCCACAGCCTGAAATATAATTCACTTGGACCAAGAGATTAGAACTGAGTTCGTATTCCATAACAACTACTCTCTCATCTTGGGTTTCAATATCTTGTGAGCTGGGTCCTTCCCCATCTGTGGTAAGCTTTTCTTGAGAGATTAAAGCAGATTTGAGTTGGGTAATGCCACCTTGCCCATGTGTCTGCTATCACTGCATTAAGAAGCAGGTTGTTCTTCTTTATCTTGATTCTTCCTTCCTGTGTTGTGTGGGTTCCTTCCCAGTTTTATGGTTGCCAATAACAAAGTTATCATTAAAATTTCTTTGACTTTAAATAAAGTAGAGATTTATTAGATTTACTATTTAAAAAATAGTTTCCCAGCTGACACAGTGGTAAAGAATCTGCCTGCCAATGCAGGAGACCCAGGAGACTCAATCCCTGGGCTGGAAAGATCCCCTGGAGGAGGAAATAGCAACCCACTCCAGTACTCTTGCTTGAAAAATCCCACGGACAAAGGAGCCTGGCAGGCTACAGTCTATGGGGTCACAAACAGTTGGATATGACTGAGCAACTGAGCATGCATACACGCCAATGCAGTAGACTTGGGTTCGATCCCTGGGTCGGGACGGTCCCAGGAGAAGGAAATGGCAACCCACTCCAGTATGT